AATCCAAACTCCATAAACTACCATATTTGGATCACACTGCAAACAAACATAAAAACAAATTAAGTTATTGTTTGCAATCAATACATTCACTTCATATTATGCAATATATATCCTGATGTGAAATTGATTAACTCTACTTCATGTCTGGAGTAAAGGAGGTTAATTTGGGACTGTTTATTTTTTTTTAAAATTATTAAAGATGATTTCTGATTCTCCAATCTCCGATAGATGCATACTCAAACCCAAAATTACTGTAAAACATGTTGAAAAAGCGACATGCAATTTTAGTGAATTGTGATAAAATGACGTAATAGCTAAATGTTTGATTTAGCGAATCTCATCTTGTCATTGTTGATTTTCTGTTTTTACAATATGTCGCGTGTCAAAACAAATGCGCAGTTATCACCTCCATAAAAAAAAAAGAAAAACTGTCAAGTGTAATTAGGAAGAGCCCCAGATTTTTATGTTCCAGATTACTGTATGGGTCAGAGGACGTTTCAGTATAGAGGGGTAACCCTATGGAATAACTTGCCATTACATGTCAGAAATTCAGCCTCTTTAGGCATTTTTAAAAAAACTTACAAAATTTATCTTAGTGAAAAATTTGTTGTAAATGGCTCAAGTCTATAGTGTGTATATTGTGTTTTTTGTCTCTACAGAGGACCCAATATAAAATTACAGTATTGTATATTGGCCTACCCTCTTTAAATAAATAAATGAATGAATGAATGAATGAATGAATGAATTAATGAATGAATGAATAAATAAATAAATAAATACAAACCCTCAAGCCTTGGCCATTTTAAATTTATAATAATGTCATTAGCGGCATCTTGAATTAGTCCCGCTAAATTCACTAAAACTACATGCTCGCGAAAAAGACATGTTTTACAGTACATTAATTGTATACTGGATCATTGAAATCTGACATTATTTAACCAGACACATTTTCGTCACAAGTCCATAAGTAATAATAAGAGCAATTAGAGTACGGGTAATTACAATATGACGTACACACAAAATGACTGATATTTCTCAATAATATAGTTTGGCTGCACTCTCTGCTCTTTAAATTTGCAAACACAATTTTCATTGTCTTGTGAAATCTGCTATGTGATAATGAGCTACACAATAGAAACTGTGCAAATGGTTGTGGAGACGCATCCTAATTCAGTGCTGCCACGCCATGTCACGCGACATTGATTGACAGCAGTTATCTATTGCCATAATTGTAACACTGAATTACTGAAGTTATATTCATAGTCACATACATGTACCGTATTACCCCGGGCACGCGCCCCTCCCTGGGCAAGCGCCCACCCCCCTGTTTTCACAAAAGTTACATGTTGGGGACATCCTCGGTTAAACGCCCAGGGTGATTTTTAGCCAAGAACGGGGTCAACAATAAAGTTTTATTCGTCAAAAACGAACACGTTTGATTTATTTAAATAGTGTGTTTGTCACAGTAGTTCTCTTTTTGGAGTGTGTGGTGGCCCTGAAAAGGGCCGTTTTGTTTGTGTTTTTACGTAAAAACTCATTGGAACTTAACGACGTGAGATGAACCACGCAGCATGTGGTGCACTCGTTCTGCTTTCTCTTCATTCACGATGAATCCAATACTGCAATAATCCATACCGTGGTGAGTGGTTTGAAGCACTTAGCTTTGGTTTCAGACGTAGAACTTCGCTGACACAGTCAGCTGGCATCGGTGTCGCTGGGTGTATATGATAAAGGGAAGTTGTGCAACCAAATTTGCCGAGTTTGCAGTTTTTCGCCAAGAAAAAAAATAACTAAGGTAAAAACTTACGGTTTTTCATCATTGTTGTAATAAAGAAATTATTCTCTATCAATAATCCGCCCAAAACAGGAACATTTCTACTCTTTCTTGTGTTTTTTCAACGTTTTTTGAAAAACCTGCAATTAGGCTGCGAAAGT